TATTTTATTATAAAAATAAACAAAGGGGAAAAAAGCAGGTTTGTTGGAGAAGAGAGATGGCTAAGCAGTTAACATTTGTTACTCTTGCAGAGTTCAGTTCTCAGCAGCCACTCTGGGTGGCCTGTAACTCCATCTCCAGGGAATCTGATGCCCTCCTCTGACCTCTTAAGTCACTTGCACAAATGTGTGCATACACATACTTTTTAAAGAAACATGCACATAATTTTACCGAAAAATTTAAACAGGGATATGGGATAAATAAAAAGGAATCTTGAATTCAGAGCAATTGCTGTAGAATAAAAGTAAGAATAATTCAGCAGAAGAAAACCCAGATCATTCTATTAGAAATACGGAGGACACCATTGAATTTTAATTGTAGTGTTAAAACTGGGTCTTGATAAAGCTGATTATTATAGTGGATTAAGTTGGAATTAAAGGTTGAGACAAACTAGACTTAAAAGTTCCAAGAACTGACCCAGGACATGTTTTAACCTTAGCACTTGGGAGGCAGAGGCAGGCAGATCTCTGTGAGTTTGAAGTTAGCCTGGTCTACAGAGTGAGTTCCAGGATAGCCAAAGCTTCATGGAGAAACTCCGTCTCAAAAAACAAACAAACAAACAACAAAAAGTGATCAAGGTCTGAAGTTAAGAGAACCGGCTGTCATCAGGGAAATGCAAATCAAAACAACTTTGATATACCATCTTACTCCTGTCAGAATGGCTAAAATAAAAAACACCAAAGACAATTTATGCTGGAGAGGATGTGGAGAGAGGGGAACACTCCTCCACTGCTGGTGGGAGTGCCAACTTGTACAGCCACTTTGGACATCAGTATGGAGATTTCTCAGGAAAATGGGAATCAATCTACCACAAGACCCAGCAATTCCACTTTTAGGCATATATCCAAAAGAGGCAAATTCATACAACAAGGGCATCTGCTCTACTATGTTCATAGCAGCATTATTTGTAATAGCCAGAACCTGGAAGCAACCTAGATGCCCCTCAACTGAACAGTGGATAGAGAAAATGTGGTACATTTACACAATGGAGTATACTCAGCAGAAAAAAACAATGGAATCTTGAAATTCGCAGGTAAATGGATAGCACTGGAAGAAACCATCCTGAGTGAGGTAACCCAGTCACAAAAAGACAAACATGGTATGTACTCATTCATATATGGATTTTAGACATGGATCAGGATAGTGCCAGTCTGCACTTCCACTGACAGAGAGTCTGGGAAACAGGAAAGAACCTAAAAGATATGCATGGTACCCAAGAGAAGAGAAATGAGGCAAGATCCTCTGAACAGATGGGGAACACGGGGAGGGGTGGGGGGAGTGGGAGCTGGGAAATAGAGAGGGGGAGAATAGGAAGAGAGAGTAGGTCATGGGGGAATAGGAAGGTTGAGGGGGGTAGGACAGGGGGAAGAGGGAATCATAGGTTAGAAGACAGATCAGGCACCATTGTGACCTCTAGTGATCTAAAGGGATGACACCAATTGGCAAGCTAAGCAATAGTGGAGAGACCACCTCGAATGCCCATTCCTGATAATGAACTTGATGTCTATAACCATCCTGGAGCCTTCATCCAGTGACTGATGGAAGCAGAGGCAAACACCCACAGTTAAACACTGAACTGAACCCAAGGAACCCAGTGACAGAGAGAGAGGAGCAATGAGCAAATTGGCAAAGAATGGGCTGGCAAAACCAGTAGAGACAGGTGATCCGAACAAGGGAGAGCTCTTGGACCCCAGACCGACAGCTGGGAGGCCAGCATGGGACTGATCCAGACCCCCTGAATGTCAGAGTCAGTGAGGAAGCCTGGGCAACCTATGGGGCCCTGAGCAGTAGATCACTGTTTATCCCTGGCATACAAACAGACTTCGTGTGTCCATAACACAAAGAGGGATGCTCTCTCAGCCTGGACTCTTAGGGGAGTGCCTGGACCCTGCCCTGAGTGAAATGACAGACTCTAGATATCCTGTATGTGGAAGGAATTGGCGATAGGGTGGGAGTGCGGGAGGAGGGGAGGGAGAGGGAACTGGGATTGACATGTAAAACAAGCTATTTAAAATAAAAATAATAATAATAAAAAAGAGAACCGGCTGTGTGCAGGGGACCAGGGTTCAATCCCCAGCACCCACATGGAAGCTGCAGCCCCCTGTCGCCCCCCCCCACAACTCCAGTTCTAGGTGAGCCTATGCCCCTTCTTGACTCGTCAGGCTCCTGAATGCACACGATGCACATACACACACATTTACTTCTGGCCAGGATCTCGACCAAACGTACTTTGTAATGTAATGAAGTTTAATCGGACTGTGGTAACAAAAGATTCCCAACAAACAGACTAGAAAGTAAGATTATTTGAGAGGTCGTTAGGTATGCAAGCATTTAGATCGGAGCGACCATGACATAGGAGCAAATTTGTTATATCGGTCCAAGGCAGGGCTGTAGAAGGAGTTGTGTTGCTTTAGATAGATAGTGAAATTTTAGAATACTGAAAGCTGTAAAGAGAGCCACAAACAGAACCCAAAGACTGGTGAAGGGAACAACAGGTGAGTAAAATAAAGGGGAAACCGAGAAGTCACTAAACTAAGGTTGGACTTTTGGCAATATTTAAAAACACAGTGAAAAGAAGAAATGGGGACTGGGGAAATGGCTCGATGGGTGAGTGTTTGCCTTGAAGGCATGAGGGACTAGAGTCAGATCCCAGGGATCTGTGTAAACACTGGGTAGGTGTGGTGACCCACTGTTGCTGGGTCCTAATGGCTCACTTGGGGGGAGGGATTGAGAAGGCTGGAAGTCAATGACACAGACCCTGGGAGTCAGATGAAAGGAAAAACAGCAGACTCATTTATTAGCAATGGGAAGAAACTTATATACTCTCCCAGCACCCAGGCACTCTGACCCATCGACATTGTGTAGTGACCCCTCATTGGCTAGGCAGGAGCAGGAACACTGACAGCGGCAGGCAAACTTCAGGGTGGTTCATCTCTTGGCCTCGTAGGCCTTAACTTCCTAGAGCCCACCTAATCCCATTGCCTGGGAGACAGAGACAGGAACCTCTGGGTAGAGCCGGATAGAATAGATTTGCCAAATCAGCAAGCTCTGGCTTTACCTTCAAGACCTTCTTGCCTCAGTACATAAGGAGGGTGGCCAAGGGAGAGACTCAGTGTCAGCCTCTGGGTGCTGCATGCATGCATGCACATACAACGCCCTTGCACACACACGTGGTCTCAATCATAAATGCAAAGCACACACACACACACAGGATAAAGTGGAAGAAAAAACATATAATGAAAAAATACAGAAATGATAGGTGTAAGCACAGCAGGGTGGTCAGTCTTCATTGTCAGCCTGGCTGGATTTAGCATCACCAGGAGTTTGCCTGTGAGGTGTTTGTAACTGATGGAGAAAACCCTAAATGTGGGCAGCACCGTCTCTTGGGCTCTGGTCCTGAACTGAATAAAACAGACAAAGTAATCCCAGCCCAACATTCATTCCTCTCTGCTTCCGGACTGTGCACATGATGTGATCAGCTGCCCTCTGCTAAATTGTCCTCCCACTGCGATGGACAGAGGACATTAATAAAGCATGGACCACAATAAGCCCTTTCCTTCTGTCAGTTGCTTTTGTCACAGCAGCCACCAGCGTACGGAACATACCTACCTCCATAGGCTGGCAATTCAAAAACTCAAGAGAAACAGTGCTTAGCAAAAGCTCAGCTGTTGGAGAGCCATAGGCTTTGCCTGAATTAACAAGCGAAAATAGAGTCACAATCACCATGATGTTTTGTTCCTGTCATCCTTGAAGATTAGCTGCCTATTAGCTATGCTGTCTATAACTGTCCAGTCATCTTATTCGGGTGATTATGGGGAACAAAAGTGGGGGGAGCCTTTTCCGGGCTTTGGAGGGGCGGGGTGGGAGTGAGGTATTGTCTGCCAGAAGATGGAGGGTCTGGGCCTGCTCTGCTTACAGGGATCTTGCTTCACAGTTGCAACTGAGGTGGAGCGCCGCCTCCCACGGGCTTCTGTGGATTGTGACTAACATTTTAAAGTGCCCAGCAACTGCCGGGAGCAGGGGATGCAGCGGGCAGGGGCTTTTTGGGGAGCAAGCCCGGAGCCCTAGTTTCATGATCACATGACGTCATCACACCCGCCACCGCAGTGCGAGGAGCCCTGGTGGGTAAACTGACCATAGGCCCTGTCCGAGTTACTCAGTCCTGGGCTGTGGTTGGCCCCATGGTGCATTGAGCTGCCAGCCAACCCCTACTGTGAAAGGAGGAGAGTCCATGAAAGCTGGGTTTGCCATTGAAGATCCAGAGAAGCATGTGGGTTAGGATCCAGGGAATTTAGACCAGAGCGATAGTGTGTGATGACAGCCTATGACCCGTGGACTAGGGGACAAGGATGAAGGTCTGCACCTGAGGGAGGGAGGTGGGGTCAGCCTCCGGCTGTGGCGTCATCCTGTTAACAGTACTCCCTTCAATGCCCTGGCTGCGACCCAGCCCAGACACCAGGAGCGATTTTAAGACTCACCTGTTAACTCCCTGGAGTGCAGAGCCCTAACACGCCCCTACCTACCCTCCAGTGAAAGATGAGCCCGCCCAAACCCCACACCCAGCTTTTTTTCCCTTGGTCCCCATACGATGCTCCGGTGTTGAGGCCACCGGATCCAGCAGGTGGATGTTTTACAGTTTTTATGATTTCAGTTGAAAGCAGCAAGGGCTTGGTCCCGAGTCTGCAGGCAGGTTCAGCTGGGCGCTACCCAGTGCCTCTCTGGGAGGGAAAGGCCGTGCTGAGCGAGGGGATGCTGCATCTGATTCCGGGCGTCTGCCCCCCACCCCTCACTGGTGATGTCACAGCTCAGCCCCAGCCCCCTCCCGCTCCAACCCCATCTCTTCTGCGGCCGCTACGCCCGTCCCTCTCCCCGCGCGACAAACCAGCTGGCGGCTGAGGCTCGGACGCAGCGCGCAGCCAACCAGCGCATCGGGAGGGACTCGGGGAGGGCCGGGCCGGGGGCACGGAGCTCGTCACGCGGCGCCACCGTCACAGCACCAGGAGCAGTCAGCAAGCAGCATCGGTTCCAGTCTGGGGGGACCCTCTCTGGTGCCAGTGCCCATGCGGGGCCGCCGCCAGTGACGCCTGAGAGGTAAGGCTACCGCCCGCCCGGCCTGTCGCCATCCGCGTTCTTCATCCCGCACCTGTCGGTGGCATCCGGCACCCGCACTAAGTGTGCATCGGTGGGGGGTTCCCGGCCAACGCCAATGCCCTTGTCGCAGCCCGAAGCGCGGGCTTGGAGCTGCGGCTTCCCTTCCCCCGACCTTCCTCCGCCTCTTCGGAGAACAAAGGGGCGAATTCAGGGGTGTCGGTGCTCCCTGCGAAGCTTTTCAGGACCCTTAGAAAAGACGCCTTTGCTGCCGCTCGACCCTTGGCCCGTGTGGGCGGAGGTCGCCAGAGAGAGGGACCATCAGATTTGGTCAAAGCCTCCTTTCCCCCTGTATCTCTCCACTGCAGAGGGGCTACCCAGAGGGATGCGATGGATCCGCGGGGGAGGGGAGGCAGAGACGAGGAATAGGGAGCAGGACAAGGCTGCGGGGCGTCGGGACGGGGCGCGGCTGCTGATCCGGGCCCTAGGGGAGGGTGCGCGGGGCAGCCGCTCTGGTCCCCGGTGGGTGGGGGAGGGCAGATGCTGGAGCCAGCAGCAAAACAGGCGGGCGGGGCGGGGGATGCGGCGCCACGGCCCGGCCACCGGCTTAATGCGCACTTGGTGACTGCCCATCACTCTTATTGCTTCCGATGCCCCTCCCTCCAGAGACCCCATTTCCCTTCCAGAAAGACACAGCACGGGAGGAACCACCCACAGACACGCCTGGCGGCTACTAAGCCAGCGCCCCAGTAACAGGTGTGGCCCCCTGCCTGGAGGGAGGGGCTGAGGGACGCGCAGAGGTCCCCAGGCGTCTGGCATCGGTTGGCTCTAGGAGCACTGCCTGCGAAGACCCTCGCTCTCCCCCATTAAGCCACTCCTCCCCCCACCTGCTTCCTAGGGGAAAGGCAGCGCCCTCTGCTCCCGAAGAGGCAGGGAGTGCATCCGGGCTGAGAGGGAGAGGGAAGGTCCGCGGTGCGGTGAGGTGCCGGATGATGGGGGCCGCAGGCGAGGGAGGGGAAGGGGAGAGAGGGATTGCCAAGTCATGGGGCCTGCTGGGCGCCGGCGCGACGTCGCCCGGGCGCGGACCCGATGCGCGCCCACGTCCCCAGGAATGGGGACTTTTCCCCAGAGGCCAGAGGACCAGTCTCCCAGCGCTAGCCTACCTAAGAGGGAACCGCATTGCTGGGATTAAAGGCCTGCTAGGGCAAGCGGATCGGATCACGCGGCTGCGGGAGGAGGAGGTGCGGAGAGTTCCTGCTGCGCTCTGGGCTGGTGCTAGTCCAATCCCGGGGACCCACGGGCTCAGCGCAGGCTCCTGCGGAAGACACGGTCACACCGAGCTGGCCGAAGGCGGCTGCCAGGGCAACGTGCCCAGCGCCTCTGTCTAAGGAGGCAGCGCAGGCTGCGGGGAAGCGGTGGGGTTCGGGGGGCTGGGGCCGCACCTGCGGCGGCCATTTTGCAGGTGTGGCTGTCACCTGCCCTAGCCAGGCTGTGGGGAGGGGGTGGGCAGGACAGGTGTGGGGCAGCAGGGTGAGGGGTGCTGCGGGGGTCCAAGGCAGGCCTCAGGTCTGCTCTTGCTCTGCACAAGCACGGTCCGCGGGAGGTTCCTTGCCTTTGGTGGGTGGAGTCAACATCCGAGTCTTCTCAGAGGGCTGCGGGAAACTCAACGTCCATCCTCTGGGTGTGAAGCCTGTTTCCAAGGCAGGGACCCCTCCCTACTAACGGCTTCCTCAGAGTGAGGATGGATCTGAAGGACAGCTTGTCCTTCTTGGTTTGCTGGCCGCGGGAGCTCCTGCACTGGGCACTGCTCAGGATGGATACCTCTCTGGACATGTCCCCTCCCCCCCCCCCCGTCCTAACGCCCAACTCAGATGGAGCGCGGAACCTGCAGACTGCACCAGCCTCAGACAGGTGGAGGCCTGTGCTCTGCACAAGGCCAGACTGATGAGTGGCTGAGTGGGATTCGGTCCCGCCAGTAGGCAGGAACTGGGGCAGTGGGTTGTCTCAGGATCCAGCCCATTCTGTGCCCATTTTTCTGTCTCTTACGTTGACTGTATGCTCTGTAAATACAGCAGGGCAATCCTCCTGTGGGCTTCGTGCAGGGTTTGGCGGGGGTGGGGGTGGGGAGCAAAGACAGAGTAGCAGGTGAGTCTGACCAGCCCCAGCGAAAGTCCAGACGGATAAGATTGGTCAAGGAGGGTCCTCCTGCACAAAAATTGTACACTGGCCAAGCCTTTGGGCAGAGCTCATCTCTCCAAGAACCGGCAGGGACTCAGTGGTCACCTGTGGAGAGTGACGGACCTGGGCCACTGAGCTGGCAGATGAACACGTAATTTCCGGTGTGCAGAGGTCCACATGTTCCCTCGAGCATGGGCAAAACCAGGGCTCTTAGTCCCAAAGGACAGAGCTTCCCACTGCCGGTACCGAAGCTGTACTAAAGCGGTACCGGTACCGGAAGCAGAGCAGAGGCACCCCAGCTCCACCCGAGGTGGATCCAACCGGGGTCCTGGATCCACACTTGGCCCTGCTGACTGCTCCTCCCCCAGGGTTTTGGTGACTCAAGGCTGGCTGAGCCAGGCCTTCTGTGATGCAGGTGGGGACACTGCAGGGCTGGAAGATTCAGTCAAGGTCAGCAGCAAAGGCTCTCTTGTCTCTCGGGGTGACTACCCAGTCCCGCCTGCTGGCATGTAGTTCCTGAGATGCCCTCAGCAAAGCCTTCATACATACTTTTAATGTAATTCCGGGTGTGGTGTGGGCAGGCAGAGACTTTCAGATTGTCTGGAGGTGCCCCCTGTGTGCCGTCTCTTGCTCAGATTTCAGGACTGCGGTCCATGTAGCTGGAGATCCTTCTTACCCTGCCCAATTCCAGGGACCTGCAGCAGTGGCAGCCCTGGTCCTAGAAGCTGGTGGGGGGTTAGGACCAGGGACACTGAGTATCTGAGTATCCCCTTGCTCAGGTTGTTGATGTCCTTCAATGTTGGTTCCCACCAACCTCTCATTCTGGCTAGGGCTGGAGATAGGTGGGGAAGGCAGCTGTGGCCCATCTGGGGGTGACTGGCAGGCGGAGGCATCCATCTAGGACTTCCTGGGTACCATTAACCACACACTGGGACAGACCAGAGGACAGCTCAAGGTGGGGGGGTGCAGGAGTGGTCAGGGCCAGCAAGACCCTAAGGGTTTCATCTTCCCCACATTTACGTTGGGGGGGGGTTGGGGCCACACACATCAGATACAAATATACTATGACAATTCGCATGTGTACACATCTGCAGGTCACACTCATGCACGCAGATGCACATGTGTAGGCACACATGCATTTGGCATCCCTGGGTGCCTGATTTTTCCCCCTGTCTGACCCTTCTCTAGATTTCTTTCTTTCCAGCCCTAGATCTTCCCAAAAGGCTTCTTGGGTACCTCCTCCTTCCCAAAGCGTGCTGTAAGTCACCAGCACACAGGATGCGGATTCCCCCTCCCCATCTCTCCTGCCCTCTTCCCCCCAGGCTTGGGACTGGGAAGAAAGCAGGGGACATTTATATGATATAAATTGCAATGTGTCATTGTGTGCATTCCATTATCCGATGCTTTCAGATGCCAGTGGTAGTGTGCCCATTACTCAGATGCAGACACTGAGGATCCTGAAGAGTCATGCTTGACTTTTCCAAGCTCCAAACAATTGCTGCTCTTTTGGTGCCTTCTGTCTGTCTTCCACCCCTCCCGTCTGTCTTTCCTTTTTCTCTTATATCCCCATTCCCTGCCACCTGCCTTCCAGTAAGACTCAGTGAGTACCGTCTTTGATCTCCAAAGCTCAGGGTAAACAGCTGTTACACTGTCCACCGGGGCAGTCTTAGGTCTAGGAATTTTTGAGGCTGGCTGAGCAGGACATCCTTCCCTTTGGGTGGAGATCCAGGGGTCACAACAGCCCCTGACGGTCCCTTTGGTCCCCTCCCCTTGAGCTGGCCCAGAAGTGCAGTAGAGGGGTTCGAGGACTCCCCTCTTCCACTCATCTTCACGTGGGGCTCAGCTGCCTATCCCATCTGTCACCTGTTCAAATTAAGACAGTAAGACACAGGGCCAATGGGCACCATTCTGAGGCCACTTCCCTCGGGGAGGGGGGCCCAGTTGTCCTCTGTGAGTGGCTCTCACTTTCTGCCTGCTTCTCGGTCCCTGTGGCTGCTGGGGAGCATGGGACAGAGCTGTAGCAACCATAGGTGACTACAGGAAGGACATGGAGGAGCACTGGCCTGGAGTTTTGCTGTTTGTGTATTTCTTCTGTGCTTCGGCAGGGTCATCTTTTTTAATATATGTTTTTAAAGTTAATTTTACGTGTGTGTGTGTGTGTGTGTGTGTGTGTGTGTTTTGTTTGTACATATGTCCGTGCATGCTTGGTACCTGAGGGATCCAGAAGAGGGTGTTCCCGGAATAGACGATGGTGAGCCACCATTGGGTGCTAGGAATTGAACCCAGATCCTCTAGAAGAGCAGCCAGTACTCTTAACCATTGAGGCATCTCTCCAGCCCCTGGCAAGACTTTCTTGGTCAGAGTTTTCCTCTGACCTCAGATATCACTTTTTTTTTTTAAACTGAATGGGTTCCTTTTGTCTCTAGGGTTCTGCAGCTCTGCAGAGTCCCCTCTTTCCTGGCACCCCAGGACTGGGAGCCACCCTCCTGTCTGACTAATGACTATTAGCCTAATGCTCACCATCTTCTGTCAGCTGGTTCCAGTTTGAGTCTCTGGCTGTCTTCTATGGTTTTCTATCCTGCTTTGCTGAGGCGCATCCTTGTGACAATGAAAATGCCACATGGATCTGAGTGTATGAGGTTCTTTTCCATCCTCACCCTTGCTGAGTCATTTCCTCAGAACATGGAGGCTCTGGCTTCATGGGCCTGGGCATCCCGGGCTTATGACTACCTTGGCCTGGAACTCCTCTCTCTGCAATCGTCATTTTCCATGGGAGTCTACCGTGCACTTGGACTGCTCTCAGTGGGATTTTCTTTTTAACGATG